GCAAAATTTCACCTCCCCACTCATCAGATGGCATTTCAGGACATGTGTAATGTTTTTTGCCAATGCCTATCACCCTTTCACCATGTGTGGGTCACATTCATACATTTGCAGAATGGATGTGTGACAACGCAGGTCATGGATTAATCCGATCTACTCCGTGCACCGTCAGTAAAAGCCTTAAATCTGCAGCTTGATCCAAAGCTGCACTGGTTTTATCAACCTTTAAAATGTGCCATACAAATAATATCAAACAGGGAGGCACGAAAGGCACATCAAAATGTAGTGAGAACATTTATAGGGAGAGTGTTTTCTATTAGAACTGAATGTCTCAGTCTTTGCTTCGAGCCCACAGAGGGTTTTCCTGATGCAGATCTTGGTTGAAAAAAAAGGTACAAATGCACTGAACGACGATATGTGATTTGTGATCAACTTAAAGGAGAAAAACATTTCAAATATGAAACAAATGATATAGGCAGCAATGCATTGATATAAGTTGCCTACTGTAGTGTAAATATCTGCATGTTTTACCTTTAAGAGATTTTAAACAACCGGTTAGTGCAAATGTTTCGATTTGTACATTAAATTCTGTAAAAGCCTGAAACCATATTAACAAAAATTTTGGTTCACATAAAGCTACTGTAGTCAACTTTACATTTTGAAAAATCTTACCACATTTTTACAGAATAAAGACTTTTAACTGGCTGGTCGTCAGTGTGAAGTAACACTGTCACGATGAATAAGTAACAGATTTAGTTTTGGTACACTCAAAACAGATGTGCTCCAATTTCTACCAGGCACCACTTCCCTTACAATGACAGAAAGCATCAAGGGACTGTTAGGACTGGACTGGCTTACGTATGTGACAGAGAGTGTAACAGATTAAGTGTTTAAAAAAAGACAGAGGGAAATGGAAAAACGGGTGCATTAAATCATCTTCGAAGATGTCTCTGTCTTCAATCCAGGAGTGGAGATGATTTTCAAGGTTAGAAGTTACAGCTTGACCATTTTATCCTTTGTGGGTTTTTCTCGACTCCCACATTTAACGAGGTGACTCAGTTCATTGTTTTTCCACTCATCGTGGTGTGCATCATCACGTTCATTCTGTCTTCTATCTCTTCTCCAGATAACACAAATACCAAGAGAACCGAAAAGACCCCTACCTCTGTTCACGACACTGATAGCATTTTCTAAAACAAGAGCTCCTCATGCGTGCAGTCCATTAGGCCCTGCCATACAAACAGACCTGCTTTGTTGAGGTGTTATATCAACAGGGCGACCTCCCCTCTATTCCTCCCCAGCTTCCTTGGGCCCCCCAACGGCAGGAGATTGATGTCAACAAGGAATTTTGGTCCCACATTTTCTCCTGCCTCCTCCAGACCAAAGGCTGCCCCTAACAAACACTTGCTCCAGCACAGTGTGGCCTTAACAGACCCGTTACCATCGCAATCGCCGCTACTCTCTCCCCGCAACAGGTCTGCACGAGCACCGGAAACACTCTAAGTCACAAACAGATACGGTAAACAGCACCAGGAAAGCCGAGCATGTGTGCGTGCTTGGGGAAATAAGCCGTCTTGTTCTATCAACAGAGTTGTTGCTATGAGGGGTGGATCAGCATGGTTACATCATTTGTGAACAGTGTCGTCGCCAAAAAGAGCTGCCAAAAGAATTCGAACCAGCTAAAAAGTGACCTTGTTTTTTAGGTGGTGCTTGTCAAACATTCACAAGAAACAGGAAACAAGAACCTGCGAAGCAGCTGCTGCTTCTAGAGTTGTGCAAAGCTGGACAAGTGCGAGGGGTTTGCAAAAATCACACCCACCACGTCGACGACAGAACGTCATCTGCAAACCAGTTTCATAAGAAGGATACTTAGGAATTCAGTGGTACAAAAAGTGTGTCCAAATGCTTCAGTCCACTTTATTTTTCGTCATATTTAAAGCTAGGTAAATGAAGAGTATTAGATGTAACTAAAGGAAAGCTAGATCCAGATTTTTTTTCTTTTTATTGAAATTAGACTGTATGTATAAATTGTATTTCATTAGCAAGACTATATAGAACTTAACTTCATGCTGTGGCGGTAATGCAGACATTTTATTCATGTGTGTTGGACCAGGGACAACCACTTTAGAATTTATTTTATTTGCAATTTCTCTTATTTTGTTACCTTATGAGACTATATCAACAATATGAAGTATTCCCTCTATTGTTTTCTACTATACTGCTTTACAGCTACTAAACAAAAAGAACAAACAGTCTTAAATCGTAGGCCACCAGATTTTATCTTTTCAGAAAAAAAACTGAGCAAAGACCAGTTTCCTCCGAATTAAGCCTGTTTCGTGGTTGCCGTGACCCGGATGACAGAGAACTTGCACAGGCATGAGACAATTATATCTTTTACTGTTGGTCAGTTTTTTCTTTTTTCATTTAAGAAAAGATCATCCGTGACTCACTGAACATGAGGTTCTTTCAGTGACAAGCCATGAGTCAGAGAATAAAGTGTTTACAGAGGAACAAAAGGTGTAATAACGACATTCATCCCTTTCTTTCACATAATGTTTGGGTCACGGCTGTTGTTGTCATCCTCATGGTCCATAAATGATATGATGACAGAGAAAGAAAAAAAAAACAGGTAATTGTTGTGACTGTTGGATGTACCGATTGGTAACCCATAAACATCTTGAGAGGATTACTTCTTTTTTAATTCTCATAGGAAGTTGGTTCAATAGTGGCATCTCTAATCAAAGAGGAAGACCAGTTTAAATAGGAATGACCTAACCTTCAATTGGAACTTTTTTCAGTTTTTTCCATGATGTGTTGATGTCTTAAATTACTAGCTTAATTACCGATCCATCAAGCATTTGTAGGCTCACACATCAGCAGTGTTTGCAAATTGTTCCCTAAAATCAACACTTCCTAAGTCTGATGCAATAAAATATGTCAAAGAAAACATCACGGTAAGACCAGTGGTTAATTTGGGGAGCTCAGACAGAATTATTTAACAACATTAATGTCGGGCAACAAAAGAGCAGTGTTGCTGAGCTGAAAACAGACAGCTGCTTTTTGAAATATTACGATAAGATTAGGGGGTTTCCATAACTATTGTGGCTTTTGTTCAAGAACATCCTGTCCATAATAATTACTTAAACTATTATGAACTTTAACAGGGGGATTAGGAGTTTTCAGTCACAACGTTTCCCATCCCATTCCCATTTCATATTACTGTGAAGCAGCTACACTGGTGGTCCAGGCTGGGGAATACAGATGGCCTTCTCTCCAGGCACCCTTTAGAGCAATCTATCTGAAACATTCAATAGGGCTACACTTGATGCTTGTGTGTAGATAGGTTTACGTGGGGGAGTTAGTGAATGTGCAGGAAAGTGAGGTTCCAGAAACATGTGTGAGCAACTGCTCAGGGAATGCTAGCCATAACATCCAACAACGAAAGGATCCTTCTGAGAGAGTTATTGGTAAAGCTTGATGAGAAAACAGAGAGGTGAGCAGAAAAACAAAACACATACAGAACCTCTCTCTATGACCCTTTTCCCTATTTTGTCCCACATAAAAAAATACAAATTTCAGCATATTTATCAGAATTTTTATTAAAGAATGACTCCATTCAGATTGAGTTGTGAATGGAATTGGTTTGTTCAGGTCAAACAATTTATAAACATTTCAGGGCATTTTCAGTTTAACTCTGACAAAGAGCTAATTCTGCTGCTCATTTCTGGATGAATAAAGTCAAAATGTATTTCCACTGGATGACAATGATTCCAAAATGGGTCCAGTCTCAGTGATTCCTCCTAAAAAAGAGGTAGTTTATCAATTCCTCACCCTGCTAAAGGAGGATAACATGACAAAATGCGAGAACGTTACAACAAGTAAAATACCACCATGAACAAGCCTAAAAAACCAGCAGCTAATAAACACCACTCTCTATCGATGCACTAATTCAGCATTCTGATATAAATAAAGGCTGATGTTCAACTTAGCTTGTGTCTGAATGTTTCCTGCCATAATGCTTGGAAGGTGGTTGGAGGATTAAGAGGTGAAGAAAGTTGGCTGGACCATGCCGGTCCTATCACCACAGTCAGCGTTATTCCAACTTGATAAGGATTATGAAACAAATAAAATGTATAAAAATCCTTTCTGAATGTGTAATGACCTGCAGGGAAGACTCTGGTTTGGCACCTGCGTATCACTATGTTCACTTAGTCTCAAACTCAAACAATTAAACATCTCCAACTCTACCTCTTGCACAACATCAAGCACTCAGCAAGAACTTCCCGAAGTTCTTGGCAGAAATCAGCAAAAATAGCTCTGGCTGAGAAATTTCTCTATCGAACCATATTTTGCTGCAGTTGCTGCAAGTCATTTAGGATGTCTTATAGCCTCCTACAGGCTGAGCTGAAAACTTTTGGTATATTCCCCTTTTCAGAAAATAAACAGATCAGATTGAGCACCAGAACAAAAATTTCCATAGTTTTAAATCAATTAATGTTCGTATTTGACTAATTATATTTTAACACATGGCTATGCCTCAATCAAATCCATAGCTTTGACTTCTCTTTCTGGCTGTGCAGAAGATAAGCAACATTTTGCTTACTGTCAATGAACACATTAAGGTCATTGTTATTTAGTAAAAAAAACATTTACAAACAATTGTCAGAGGAATAAATTAAAGAGGCAAAAGTGGCTCCCTATTACCTTTCTTTTATTTTTTTTCTCAAAAGCAATTTTTTTGGGGGGGCGTCTGGAACAAAAAGGCGGATTGTAATGTTGGAAAAGGTGCAAATGGAACCTTACCCCCACTTTTTACAGTTTACCTTATAACTGGTAATGCTATGTTGAAATACACTGTGTGACAAAATTTACTTAACTATCATGTTTTAAAGCCATCTTTTTTTTTTGTTATTTACATTGGAAGGGGCAGCACTTGTCTGGGAGCAGAAAAATGAAGTTGGTGCACAGAAAGGAACCACCTGCAGTAAAGAGCTACAGTGTACCTGGTTTGGCGCTCTGGCTGCAGGCTTGTCTTGGTGATTGGCAAGGATAAGGAACGGTAGTGTGCAGAGCTGAGGGTGCTGCAGAGCCGAGTGGAGCTGATTCCTCGCTGCCTCAAGGTCCTCGTCTGATGATGCACTATCCAGGACGAAGATTACACCCTGTGACCCCTGGTAGTAACGACTCCAATATTTCTTGATGTTGTCAGCTCCTGTAGACACATGAGGGACTTGTGAATCGTTGTGTTTACTAACATGGGATCCCAGCTGCTCAAACTAACACCAATTCTGGCGATGGAGAAGGGTCAACAGGTTTTGTAAATTATTAGGTCATCTTTAAAGCCTTCATGCTTATATAAGGATAAGAAGACTCAGACACTAACAGATTAACATCTCAGACATCTTCACCTCTGCAGTCTACTAACAAAACTAGAGCACAACAAAAAATCCAGAATATAATCATTCTGGAGCCAGTTCTTAGCCCTAGACACTATAGTATCAAACATATAAGACTCATGCATGCTTAATTTTAATTAGATTTTATGTTACAAACCAACACAAAATAGATTTTGGTCTTCCATAAAACACCTGGATTCATTCTAAGATCAATTTACAAATAAGGAAATCTCTTAATGACAAATGGATTTTTAGAGGCATCAGGAGGCAGTGAACACCGATATGCATCATACCTGTTAGATTTCTACCAGTAAAATCTTTTGAAAACCATGTATTATTTCTTTTGAAAAAATAATAAGTGAAAATGACCAAAGGATATCATTACTTTTTCAAGGCACTACCTGTACAGTTAAATTAAATCTGTAAATTTGATGTATTATCTATTTTAAAAGCTATTTTTCACAACTGAAAATGTTCTCCAGGCATCAAATAAAACGGCAAGTTAACTTTAGAGATTGCAAGACGTAGTAATTCAGACAAGAAGAACAAGATGTCCTGCAACAGATGGCCTGGCCCCCGCCGAGCCTTACTCTCAACATCATGGAGTCAATCTGGGATTATTAAAGGAGATAGAAGCAACTGAGACTGTCTAAGTCTACCGGAGAACTGTGGCAAGACTTCTGAAATCTTTAACACAACCATCCAACAAAGCGCTGCCACATTTTGTCTTGCGTTCCATTCTGCTTGGGTGAAAAAAATCCATTCATTTTTTGGTAATTTATGGCTTTATGTACCATTAGTGAAAACACAGCTTAGTTTGCTTAGATTTATTTTTGTCAAACATATATATATATATATATATATATATATATATATATATATATATATATATATATATATATATATATATATATATGAGGTTTGCTGTATTATATAGTACGTATATTAAGTGTATACATTAAGTTGTGATTACTTCTTTTTCACTAAAAACTAAGAAAAGGAGAAAAGTAACGGCCGGGCGTTGATAGCCATCACCTTTTCAGATGCCGGTAACCTAATAGAAACCATATCCTGCACGGTCATATCCTTAGTGGCTCTGGAAGACTTTTACCCCAAAATCTGTTGTGTGTAACCAAAGCCAGCTGCTGATCCTCAGCACATTTCAATCAAATTTCAAAGCAAAATGAAAGGACTTGTGAAAATCCAAAACAGACACTGTCTGGTGTACACTTAAGTTTTCATGGTTAATAATTTTATGCTTTGTTTATTCAAATTATTTTTCCAATGGCAAGATTCTTTGTTTGACTGGTTCTAAATGCATGACACATAGTCTTGGAAATTAACCGTGAAATATCCCGTCACATTACACACTTCTCAAAACCACCCTCCTCCGTTTGCTAAGGTTACTTCCATTGCAATCTGGTGAACTTTTGTTTTGTGTTTTAGTTGCTCATAGTATTCAACCTGCCAAGAAATGATGAGCTGTGAGGGAGGCTGTCAAAAGTTTAAACATCACGTAGTCCTCTCGCTGACATTTACCTCTCTTCCCTTCATGCTTCTCCCCTCCCCTTCCCGTTTCTTCCCCCAGTCAATCCACTCACACCTCTCAGTGGAGTGAAAAGCTATCAGACAAAGTGGCACTTGAGAGATTGTCTAGGAAGTTTTGTCTTTGCCTGGAAATGGTGGAATGTCTGTCATGCCTTTGGATCTTGTTGGCAGCTTCTGCCACCTATTGGCCTGACATGAAGGATTTCTGAGCATGATGTCACGTCACAGCCTCCTTTTAATCAAATAAGCACATCATGAGTAAGACCTTTTTCTCAGTTGAGGATTTTCCTTCTTATTTCCAGCTATAGAAACATGATTACTAGTTGCAATAACATTTAAATGTGGATGGGACTTTTAAGCAGCTCATAATGCTGGGAGAAGTGAAAACAGCATGCTTCTCATTGTCTGTCCCAAGAACTGAACCATGAAATGAGAGATTTATCTAATTCGTCCCATGACAGCACAGATTAAATAATGAATGGCTCCCCTGTAATAAATTAACAGAGACACGAACTACGTTGGTAGAATTACATGAACAAATTAAGAGAAACTTGAACCTCCTTCCAATCATCAACCTGTTATAAGAACTACATGGTATGAAGTGAAATCTTCTGGCATGTGAGCGTTTCAAGGGAGGTTTTCAAAAGCCTTTGCACTTGTCTTGACTTGACGCACTAAGCTGCAGGGTTAAAACGTGGGAAAAGGAAAGTAACAACACAAGTTATTATTGCTACTAATAGCAGAAGAGCTTGAATTTTTAACTAGGACTAAATACAATAAAACATGTGTTGTGTCTCTATTATATAACCGAGCAAAGAGGAGGGAGCCTTCGGCCAAAAAACATTGGCAAGACCCATTATCTCACAATGCTCTAGCTGCTTGTGTGGTTTGTTCAAGATTTATAAACAATGATGTGTCAGGTGTTTTTTTTTTAATACAGACATACTTTGTTTTTCTCTTACTGGAATACCAAATACCTTTAACTTTGCATATTATAGAAATATCTCCCTTTGACTAAATAAGCTGTTCTATTTTTACAAGAAGCCTTTTGGTTTGCAGCTGGTTCCCTTTATGCACTGACCCTTGTGGTTCAAACATTGCAAGTATAAAAAGCAGGCATGGGGTGGTTACTAGTATAAATTAAATATTTTAAGCAATATTGTGCAACTTTTAGCCACTAGGGACGCTACCTGTAACTTCCAGGATAATATCTCTTAAAGTTCCCAGGATTTTCAGCACAAAATGCCTAAAAACGCCTAAAAAGGCCTCTCCAAATTCAAACTTTTATAACTCTTGAGGCATATGGATTAAAAATAAAGTTCTGGACTCTATGTAAAGAATACACTCTAGTTTTCACCTGTACATCATTTATAAGTCCACTGCTGTGTAAGTGGCATGATTCAAAAAACAGCTCTGAATATAAAAAAAAAAAAAAAAATTCTCGCCTGGATTTTCTATGTGAAAATAATTAAGAATTGTACTCCAGCAGGCCAGGAAGCAACTATTTGACACAATAAAGACACTGTCTTATATCCTGGCAAGCAACCTTCCAAATGTGATTGGAATATCTGCAAAAATAGTATTTCTACAAGAGCTCCTCTAAGACTAGGCCATGGCACCACTTTTGAATACTTCATCATAGAAACATCAGTGAGACCTCTTGGAAAGATAACACTTGGAGGAATCAGACTAAACTGTCAAAATCTTTCAAACACACGTTTTATTGAAAAATAAATGAATATAAAAGGCAAAAACAAGTCTTCAGTGAAAAATCTGACTATGATGCATGTAGTGAGTCATCTTTGCAGTGAGTCATCTTTGAAATTTAGGTTCCACCCATATAAAGCATATATCGTCGTAAACGGCTATTCATTGGCTACACATTAATGTCAATCACGTGGAGCTGAGTTTTTACTGGGTGGAATAGTAGGGCAGAGAAGGAAGTCAAAAACTGTAAGAATGATTGACGCCGATTGACTTTCTGCTGTTCCAGCCTGCCCCCTTCATCCTGTAAAGCCGGGTGTACACTGTGCAATTTTTTTTCAATCGTTGCACGCAGCTACAGTACAGCTCACACGGTACAACTAAACGCAGGGTTTAGTCGTACCGTGTGAGCTCACAGCTCACGATTTTGTTCGGCCCGATGCTCTCATCCGACCTACCTGCTCACACTGTACGACTAAAAACCACGTCGGTTTTAGCTCCGCAGTGAGATGGAGCTGCTCTGTAGCTCTCTATCCTGAAGCCAAACAAATAGAAGAGGGATATTAAGCTCACTACAGTCAACCGCGTAGCCTTGGCAAATTGTGCAATTTTGTGCTGAAAGACCTGAAATGAAAAGGCGGCGAAGTATTTGGAAAAAAGACATGGCTGAGCAGACGAGGCTACTACGGTCTGTCAATTTTACAGACAGAACTGCATTTCACTCATTGCAATCCTGCCATGCTTCTGTGTTTACATCTGAGAGGAAGAATAAAAAGAAGAATCCTTGTTTTTAGGGCATGCACCCTGAGCGATTTGCCCACGACGGTTGGGAGAAAATCAAACATGTTTGAATCTCACGATTCCTGATCGGATGTGGTCGTGAGAGGCTGATCGCCCCTCGTAACCCCCTGTTCACTACACGACTCACGACACACGATCAGGCTGAAAGTTGGCCCGATCGAAAGTTTCTTGCATGACTGAAAAATCAGGCCGAAAATCGCAGTGTACGCCCGGCTTAACTGGTCAAACAAGGTGTCAATCAAGCCAGGACTTCCTGTTTGAACATGTGATAGCATCGAATGCCTTGTTTTTGGCATCTTGTAACAGGAATTTTGAATCAAAATAGCAAAATGTGGTGGTGTTTGTTTCTTGAAGATGCAAGTTATCCAGCAGTATTCGTGCCTTTGTGGATGTTACTGGATTATTTTTTTGCTTGCTGTTTCGAGCAGAAAGAGAACAAACTTGGAGGCAAATATTGGCGGTTTCACCTTGAAACTCTTGCATGTTTCCGCTGTCCATAGCGTTCCTTGACAGTGTTGTTTCTAAGTCACCAATTTAGTGCTACATGGTCCCAATGGAATTTCCTATTGGGAAATTTGTGTTGTAGATATCTGAAAATTACCTGGTTATTATTTTTTTTTATTAAGTGTTATTTAAGTCAAAAAACAACTTTAAAAAACACAACAATACACACATTCCCAAATCAATGCATCTTAAATGAAAAGGAACAGAAAGAAGGACAAAGTTATGATCGCAGCACCTTAGTATAACAAAAGTAAAAAAC